ATTAAATGAAAGAGAGAACAGGAAAACAACTGAAAGAGTTAACGAGACCAAAAGCTGGTTCTTTGAAAAGATCAACAAAATCAATAAACCACTGGCCAAAGTGACAAAAGAAAAACTCGAGAGGAAGCAAGTAAAATGAATAAGAAATGAGATGGGTGATATCATAACAGACCCAACTGAAATTAAAAGAATAACAAAATACTATGAAAAACTGTACGCTAACCAATTTGAAAACCTAGAGGAAATGGACACATTTGTAGAAACTCATGACTTACCTAAACTAACACAAACAGAGGTAGAACAACTAAATAAACCTATAACAAAAGAAGAGATGAAAAGGTAATTAAAAAACTCCCAACAAAAAAAAAAACCCCGGCCCTGACAATTTCACTGGAGATTTCTACCAAACTTTCAGAGAAGAGTTAACACCACTATACTACTAGTAAAGATATTTCAGAGCACAGAAAAGGATGGAATGCTCCCAAACTCATTCTGTGAAGCCAGCATAACCCTGATACCAAAACCAGGTAGATACCACAAGAAAAGAAAATTACAGACCAATATCCCTCATGAACATTGACGTACAAATCTTCAACAAAATTCTAGCCAATAGAATTCATATCAAAAAAATAATTCACTATGATCAAGTGGGATTTATACCAGGTATACAAGGATGGTTCAACATCAGAAAAACAATCAATCAAATCCAACACGTAAATAAAACGAAAGACAAGAACCACATGACCTTATCAACTGATGCAGAAAAGGCATTTGACAAAGTCCAACACCCATTCATGATAAAAAAAAATCTTAGCAAACTAAGAACAGAAGGGAAATTCCTCAACATAATTAAGGGCATTTATACAAAGCCAACAGCCAGCATCATCCTAAACGGGGAGAGTTTGAAAGCATTCCCCTTGAGAACGGGAAACAGAAAAGGATGCCCTTTATCACCACTCTTAATTCAACGTTGTGCTGGAGGTACTAGCCAGAGCAATTAGGCTATAAAAAGAAATAAAGGGCATGGAAATTGGTAAGGAAGAAGTAAAACTATCTCTATTTGCAGATGATCTTGTACACAGAAAACCCCAAAGAATCCACAAGAAAACTACTGGAAGTAATAGAAGATTTTAGCAAAATATCAGGATACAAAATAAACATAGAAAACTCAATTGGATTTCACTACACCAACAAAGAGAACTTCGAAAGAAGAAATCACCAAGTCAAAACCATTTACAATAGCCCCCAAGAAGATAAAATACTTAGGAATAAATCTAATTAGAGACATAAAAAACCTATACAATGAAAACTAGAAGACACTACTGCAAGAAACCAAGAGAGACCTGAATAAGTAGAAAAACATACCTTGCTCGTGGTTAGGAAGACTCAACATTATGAAAATGTCAATTCTACCCAAAGTGATCTACAGATACAATGCAATCTCGATCCAAATTCCTATGACATTTTTTAATGAGATGTAGAAACAAGTCACCAACTTCCTATGGAAAGGAAGAGGCCCTGGATAAGTACAGCATTACTGAAGAAGAACAACAAAGTGGGAGGCCTCACACTACCTGATTTTAGAACCTATTATACCGCCATGGTAGTCAAAACAGCCTGGTACTGGTACAACAACCGATACATAGACCAAGTGGAACAGAATGGAGAATCTAGACATAAATTCATCAACCTATGAGCAGCTGATATTTGACAAAAGTCCAAAGTCCATTAACTGGGGGAAAGACAATCTCTTTAACAAACGGTGCTGGCATAACTAGATACCCATCTGCCAAAAAATGCCATACCTCACACCATGCACAAAAGCTAACTGAAAATGGATCAAAGATCTAAATATAAAATCTAAAACAACAAAGATCATAGAAGAAAAAATAGCGACAATACATGGCATAAACAGAATACAAACCATAAGTAACAATGCACAAACACCGGAAGAGAAACTAGATAACTGGGAGCTCCTAAAAATCAAACACTTATGCTCATCAAAAGACTTTACCAAAAGGGTAAAAAGACAATCTACAGACAGGGAAAAAATTTTTGGCTACGACAAATCCGATCAGCATCTAATCTCTAAAATCTACAAGATACTCCAAAACCTCTACAATAAAAAGACAAATAACCCAATTAAATTATGGGCAAAGGATATGAACAGTCACTTCACCAAAGAAGACATTCAAGCAGCTAATAGGCACACGAGGAAATGCTCACGATCATTAGCCATTAGAGAAATGCAAATCAAATCAAAACTACAATGAAATACCATCTCACCCAACAAGGCTAGCATTAATCCAAAAAACACAAAATGATAAACGTTGGAGAGGTTGTGGAGAGACTGGAACACTTTATACACTGTTGGCAGGAATGTAAAATGGTACAACCACTTTGTAAATCGATTTGGCGCTTCCTTAAGAAGCTAGACACAGACGTACCAAAGGATCCAGCAATCCTACTCTTTGGACTATATCCTAGGGAAATAAGAGCAGTCACACGAATAGATACAGGCACACCCATGTTCACTGCAGCACTGCTCACAATAGCAAAAAGATGGAAACAACCAAGGTGCCCATCAACGGATGAATGGATAAACAAATTATGGTATATTCACACAAAGGAATACTACGAAACGATAAAGAACAATGATGAATCTGTGAAACATAATGTGAAGGAATCTGGAAGGCATTATGCTGAGTGAATTTAGTCAGTCGCAAAAACAAAAATATTGTGTACGACCACTATTATAAGAACTCAAGAAAAGGTTTAAACACAGAAGGAAACATTCTTTGATGGTTACGAGGGTGGGGTGGGAGGGAGAGGCGTATTCACTAACTAGATAGTAGATAAGAATTACCTTACATGAAGGGAAGGACAACACACCCTACAGGGGAAGTCAGCACAACTATCTAAACCAAAAGCTAAGAAGTTTCTTGAATACAACCAAACACTTTGAGGGACAGAGTAGCAGGGGTGGGGGTCTGGGGACCATGCTTTCAGGGGACATCTAGGTCAACTGGCATAACGAAGTTCATTAAGAAAATGTTCTGCATCCCACTTTGGTGAGTGGTGTCTGGGGTCTTAAAAGCTAGTGACCAGCCATCTAAGATGCAGCAATTGGTCCCAAACCACCTGGAGCAAAGAAGGATGAAGAATACCAAAGATAAAAGGAAAGTATTAGCCCAAGAAACAGAAAGGGGTACATAAACCAGAGACTTCATCATCCTGAGACCAGAAAAACTAGATGGTGCCCAGTTACCACCAATGACTGCCCTGACAGGGAACACAACAGAGAGTCCCTGATGGAGCCGGAGAAAAGTGGGATGCAGAACTCAAATTCTAGTAAGAAGACCAGACTTAATGGTCTGACTGAGACTGGAGGGACCCCAGAAGACATGGCCCCCGGATTCTCAGCCTAAAACTAAAACCATTCCCGAGGCCAGCTCTTCAGACAAAGATTAGACTGGACTATGGGATATAAAATGATACTCGTGAGGAGAGTGCTTCTTAGCTCAAATAGATATATGAGACTAAATGGGCAGCTCCCGTCTGGAGGCTAGATGAGAAGGCAAAGAGGGTCAGGAGCTGGGTGAATGGACACAGGAAATCCATGAGTGGAAAGGAGGAATATGCTGTCACAGTATAGGGAGAGCAACTAGGGTCACATAACAATTTGCGTACAAATTTTTGTATGAGAAACTAACTTGAACTGTAAACTTTCACTTAAAGCACAATGAAAAAGAAAAAAAAAAGATTTGGAAAATTCTGTTGTACAAAGTATGTACATGTGTCCTAGGACTTTCACAAGGGCTTGGATACACAATATTTTTTAAGGTGATTAAGCCTGTGACTGATGCCCAGTGTTGAGGGGCCTCCAGCCAGAATCCAGAGAACATGTCTGACGCCCAAAGTCTAGAGAGTGGGGCCATTGCCCAGATGGTCTCACAGAAGAGAGGATTGTTTTCAAGCTGTCAGAGCTAATGAAATTTGCTCTGCTGGATTATAGACTTGCTTGGTACCCATGATTTCTCTCACTTGGAACTGGAATGTCTACCTTGAGCCTATTTTACCACTGTATGTTAGAAGCAGGTAACTTGTATTCTAGGTTTTACAAGTCCACTAATGGGGAGGAATTTTGCCCCACTGTGGAATATGCCCAGAGTCTCACCCATATTTGATTTAGATAGTTTACAGAATGAGATTTTGGACTTAGAGTTGACTTCAGATTTTTGCGATGATGTCATAGGGTAAATGTGTTTTGCACACTGGAACAACATGAATTTTGGGGGAGAGAGGGTAAAGGGTAGAATGTTATAAATTGTGTCCCCCAAAAGTATGTGTTGGAATCTTAACCTCCATTATACGTGTTGATGTAATCCTATTTGGGAGTAGAGTTTTCTTTGTTATGTTAATGAGATCATATTAGTATAGTGCATGTCCTAAACCTAATCACTGTGGAGTGATATAAGGAGTAGCACAGGCACAGAGGCAGGGTAGCAAGCAGAAACTGAGGAAAGACAATGGAGGCGGACAAGTCTACAAGCCAGGAACACCAAGAATTGCTGGCTAGTAGAAGCAGAAACAGATAAGAAAGGACCTCTCCCTATAGTCAATACCCTGAACTCAGACTTCTAGACTTCTGAATTATGAGAAAATAAATTTCTGTTCTTTAAAACCACCCACTTGTGATATTTCTGCTAATTATGACACATATATCCTACAGTATAAAGCTAAGTGGACAGAAGTATCTATTCGTTGTGCAAAAACATGGCAAACTAGCATCAGCTCTTGGGTGTCAGCTGTAGCCATATGCAGGTTAATGTCACACTTTTCCTCAGTGGGCATGTGTAAGAAAACTCTACTGAGACCCTGGCATAGCCCTGAATTTAGGGTTTTACTCTGACCAGCCACAAGTGCTGAACAGTCTCAAGGCAATGAGAGGCCACAGGGAAGCCTTTCCTTTCCTGCAGATGTGCTGGCAGGTTCCTTACCTCCGCAGGCAGTCTGTAAGTGTGGTGGTGCCTGACGCGTGGTTTTCCCCATTCACCATGCTGCCCTCACTCCCTGGGCTCAGAGGCCAGAATGGGGTGGAAGAGCCAGGCAGATCCAAGCTGATGTCCCAGAACGGGTCTATGGTTGTAGAGACCCCACTAGAAGCAAAAAGAGACAAGAACATACATGAAAACTGACAGTCCACTTATGGCTCCACAGAGGGCACCACCTGTTGGAATGTTGTTAAATATCCTTCTGCCCCTCTGCCCCTTTGTCCAAATGGAGCCTGAAATCAGATCCTAGACAGACTGCACTGGCTAAGCAGGGATGCTCCCACTCAGCTCATCCCTGGCTTCTGGGTGGAGTTCTGGAGAGAGATAGCATGTGCAAACCACTGAGGCCCTGGCTGCTCCTAACACAGTGGCCTCTAAACCTGGAAGGCCTTCACAACCACTTGGGATTTTTTGAAAAGTGAGAATTCCCAGGCCCCATGTCTACAGGCTCTTAATCAATGGCTCTACCCCAGGTGATAACTCAGGACCCAAACTCCGAGAGTGTCCACAGACCAGGAGAAGCAGCTGCGCTGACCAGCTGCATTTTGTGCTCTAACAAAGCCAACTCCTTCCTAGAGATCCATTTTTAGATGTATAAGCAGGAAATTTACTATAGATATTTTAACACAGGTGTAGCGCTGAGACCATCTCGGCTACTGGAGTTCAGTAGCTTAGGGCCCACAAGGAAGTTGTTCAAAACTGTGGTCTGAACCATGTAGGGCAACGGACCCAAACAAAACATGCAACATTACAGAAAAATCACCACAACTATTACAGGCAAAACCGACCCTCCCATCAGCTCATCTACCTGACAAAGCTGCAAGCAGAGATCCAGAGTGGCTTCTGAAGCACTTTTAGTGGATCATGACCAGAATTTACCTTTTTTAAATTGTACTTCAGATGGAGGTTTACAGAGCAAATTAGTCTCTCATTAAACAATACACATATTGTTTTGTGAAACTGGTTTCCGACCCACGACAGGACAACTCTCTCTCCTTCTCAACCTTGGGTTCCCCGTTACCAGTTTTCCTGTCCCCTCCTACCTTCTCGTCCTTGCCCCTGGGCTGGTGTGCCCCTTTAGTCTCATTTTGTTTTATGGGCCTGTCTAATCTTTGGCTGAAGGATGAACCTCAGGAGTGGCTTCAGTACTGAGGTAAAAGGGTGCCTGGAGGCCATACTCTCAGGGTTTCTCTAGTCTCTGGCAGGCCAGTAAGTCTCATGACCAGAATTTTTTTTAAAAAGTAAATGGAATAAAAAATACCAGAGTGCTAAGGTTAAATTACAAATCAATGAATGCTCCTTCTGGCTCTCGGAGCTCTGACTCCAGCTGCAAGCACAGAGACTATGCTTGTAAAAGACGACCAACACGGCCACAGAGAAAACGGAAAAGGCCTTAGGGAAACTCTTAGCACCAAAGGACTGGCTTTGCCTCTCTCCAGAGACAGCACCAAGTCCCAAAGACTTTTCAAAGAGGAGGAAAGGGAGAAGATGCAAATGCAGAGGGATGTGGGGTAAAGTAATAACAGAGCCTGCTTAAAACGTAAGACAATTTTAAATATAACTTTTTTAATGTTAAAAGATAAGTTATACGTGAATGCAAAAAACACTAACACCTATGTGCAGATGCTGTGGGGTATACAAAATAAAATTAATATGGATTCGGCCTTCAAGGAGCTCACAATATTATTTTTAAAAAGTTTCCTTGTAATTATAAAACTCTATCTGGAAAACTGTCAGTCCTTACATTAAGTCTACTTTACTTCAAAAAGCCCAAGAACACTAAAAAATTAACATTTTTCCATTATAAAAAAAAATTGGGACTCTCACGCTCTCTTGTAATAGAGGCTAGGTCCTATGTTCTCTAAGGCTTGTCAAACATCAATAAAAGTGTCAAATGTGGGGGTATGCTGAAAAGCTTGAATCTGTGTTCTAGTCTTGGAAGGCGGCTCTTTTATTTGGTTTCTGGTATTAAAGACTAAAAGAAAGCAGAGAAATGTGGGAAAAGTGTCAAAGAAAACACTGCTAGCCATGAACAATGAGAAAGAGGCCTCATCACAGCTGTCTTGCGCAGTGCCTAAGCCCACAGGCCTCCCTAAGGGGAGCCCGCCATCTTGGACAGCCTTCAGCACTCAGGTAATCCATCATTTCTCTTGTGTATGTTCTACCAGAGTTCTAAGAGGATACTCTGAAAACTTCAGAACACAATGATTTCTTTTGTTGGTTGGAAAATGCATTGTGATGTTCAATAAAGCAACGTCCACAGTAACATCAGTTATAGCGGTAGGACAGAGAAGCCAGTATGCAGGCCTGGCTGGCCCAGACTAGATACTCTCTGGTGTTCCAGAGAAACACTCAGCGCCTGCGCAGCCGAACACTTACTGGCAGACCTGGCAGGTGACGTCCGACTGCAGCCCACCCGTAAAGATCTGGTCGATGATGCAGTTACAGTGGTTGGGGTTGCTGGCCTTCTTCCCATTATCATCGCCTAGGAAAGAGGACAACAAATAACTCCAGAGTCCAGAGGTGACTGCAGCTTTGTGCCACAAGTCAGAAAAGAAGCTTACCCAGCAGACTTACAATAAAGACAGTAGGGTAATGCTTTAAAAAGGTATTTGGTATCTGCCATTTAAACAGAGAAACTTGTGGAGGTGGGGGACCAGCCAGTTTATTATAATTTGATGAGAATCACAGTACCTGGATTTTCAATTTTCTTCTTTTTTCCATTTCCTAAGAAGATCTCCTTGACTTCTGTCTTGACAAGAAAGCACATCTAATGCCCAGTAACAGGGGAGAGTTACTGATTCCCTTTTTCATCTGCAGAATCACTGGATATTTCCAGTAAGGTGGCACAACAAACCTCCTGGGGAAGCCGCTACCTCGTGCCCTGCACTAGACACAGTGCTGGTTTAATACTGGGTGTTTTGACCTCAGTAAGCACCACCACATGGCTCCAACCCAGTCTTTACCCAAGAATCTGTTCTACTCACCAGCTGCTGCATTCCTGAACTTCAGAACAACAGCTTATGTTTTCAACTCAGTTGTATCTAGACAAATACCATTCTCATTCTCTCTAGTTCAACCCACATTTTATTTAGGTATGTGTGTTGATGTATGAATATAAAACTGAAGTAGCAAAATATAAGAAATACATATTCGTAATATATGATGTACTATAATGTAATATACAGGAGCCTGGGTGGCACAAGCGGTTTGTCATTGGCTGCTAACCTAAAGGTTGGCAGTTCGAACTCATCCAGCTTCTATAAAGATTACAGCCAAGAAAATACTACTGAACAGTTCTACTCTGTAACACATGGTGGTTGTCACAGGTCAAGGGCCAACTCCATGGTAGCTAACAACAACATAATTCAATACATATTACATACATTCTATATAACTTTCATTCAACTAGAGAATGGGGATAGTGTGTGCGGCTCTATCTCCTATCTAAAACATACCAAAAAAACTAAATTATTACAGAGGAATAAAAGATGGCCTTTAGGTCTTCTGATAGCAGTTGCCTACGTTATTTAAGTTTAGGGATAAAGTACGAGCCAAAAGGATCTCAATTTTGTGGGCCAGAGTGTTTAGAACACGAGAAAGTACATACCGGAAAATGCAAAGAAAAATAAACTGAACAATGTTGTTCATAAAAGAACACATAACCAAATGCATCCCAGGCCTGGATACGTGACCATCCCACATACTGGTGAGCTGGCAACTCCGATGCAGGAATGTGATGGCCGAGTTTCTAAGCAGAAGAACCTCATGTTCTTTTTCAGGCCTTTCAGATGGAATTACGTCAGAGAAATAGATCACAATGGTCTCATTATGTTTTGTTATATGAACATTTTAACAGCAATGCGTTTTCAAAGAACTGATTTTTAAATAGAGTTCTGCTGGTTACAGAAGGCTCTTAGTTATTTTCAAGTGCTTGGATTAGTAATTTAAAAACAATATTCTTTCACAGTGCTCTTCTCTGCTTGTAAGTTATATTTCATACTAGGAAGTCAAACCTTACCTAAGCTATTAAGCAACTTTTACTCAATCCCTATGGCAAACATCTTGTATGTTTTCAGAAGAAGAAAAAATAAATGCAAAAAAAGCAGAATCCAACACCCTCACAGTTATCAAAACAAGCCACTGTATTTCAAGTTTAGGTTGCTTCTGATTTGTAACTGAAGATGCAACAGACCATTTGTGAAGTAGCCCCGTACCCCCAAGAGAAACCAACATGGAGGTTATAAAAGCCAGCTAAGTAGGGCAGTCCAGAAATATGACCTGGCTCTTTGAACGACATCAATTTAAGAGAAAATTAGTCAAATAAAATACAGTTGGTCACTTGCAACATCCAAAACACAGAGTGTACAGACGCCTGCTGTATCCCATTCATGGGGAAAAGGTCAGCCCTGCAGCCCGAGGGGTGGCGGGGGAGTGGGCTTGGTGGAAGGCCCCCACCTTTGCAGTGCCTGTGAAGGACATCCAGCGCTGCAATGAGGAACTCGTGGGCGTCCTGCTGCTCGTACCCCGCCAGGTGCCGGGCGTGCGTCCACACCAGATGCAGCAGCTTGTACGGGATGTGGGGGGACCGGTGCCCAGAGTAAAACTGCTCCGAGAGAGACAGTGACACAGGGAAAACACTCGTCATAGACCAAGGTTACACTTTGAATACAAGCACACGCGATACATATACATATGTAATATATATATTTTATATGCCTAGAATTTATTATGGTTAGTTTGATAAAGGAAACCCTGGTGGCACAGTGGTTAAGAGCTACAGCTGCTAACCAAAAGGTCAGGAGTTCAATTCCACCAGCCGCTCCCTAGAAACCCTATGGGGCAGTTCTACTCTGTCCTACAGGGTCTCTGTGAGTCGGAATCCACTCGATGGCAATGGATAGTTTGATAAAAATGATTCAATTTACTTTCTTTTTCCTGTGAACTGTATTTTTATTTTGATTCACTGGACTTTTTGAGTCTACTTGTGGTTTCTCCCTTCCTACCACCTAATTTCTACAGATAAGTCTAAATGATGAATTATGACTGGCTAATATGAAAGCAGATGCAAATAAAAATGACTCGTCTTGCTCAACGTTAGCCTACTCAAAGCACTAGCTAAACCAACCTGCGCGCACGTCTGCCCACACTTACACCTGGAACCACACCTGCAGGAGTAGGACTCAAAGTACTGCGATCAGCACACGTAACTCTAGGAGCATCAGCTACACAACCTCCTTGATCCAAGGCTAACTGCAGCTGGATCCGGGGCCTGCCAGCCATCTTGATGAAGCAAATACTCCACTGAGTCCCTTATGACACCAGCCTAGCAGCACACTGTACATGCTAGAGTTCCAGCACTAGGTAAGAAACCAGAGGGTTCCTCCCTGGCTGCTCAGATATGGAAGCAGGAACACAAGTATTTCAGATTTTACCTTCTGAGGTAACATCTGTAAGTCTGCTTAGAATGCATGCACCATACACCTTACCTAAGAGCAAATCTATAATTCTATATTCCAAATATAATCATGGAAACAAAATGGCACGGTAATATACTATTATTAATTGATAATAATGAAATTGGCTTTGTTTCAAGTTCCAAAAGGGCTTATACACATTAACAATACTCATCCACTTCCTATTAACTGACAGTTGTTTACAAGGAAGCCGAGCGAGGTGGACAAGGAATAAATACCAAATTCCTAATTAGGCTTAGGGTTATACTTACTAGTACTTAGGTGAGAAAAGGTGAGGGGGGAGGACAGATGTAAGGAAAAGAGATGCTAATCTTACAGAAAGGATTCACAGCTACTGTTGACAGGTAACAGAAAATTGTTAACCCTAACAGAGGAAAAGGAAGGAAGAGAGGGTGAAGCACAGAGAACAAAAACTAACTGTATTTCTAGATACTAGCAATGGACAATGAGAAACTGAAATTAAAAACAGTACTACTTACAATAGCTTCAAAAACATGAGATACTTAGGGATAAATATAATAAAACATGTGCAAACTTTGTATACCGATAACCACAAAACACTGATGAAAGAAATTTAAGGCCTAAATAAATGGAGAGAGATACTGGAGACAAATATTTCTGTCCACACAAAAAAACCTGTACACGAATGTTTACGGCAATTTTATTCATTATCGCTAAAGAATGGAAACAACCAAATAAATAAACTTCCAACTGAGGATGGATAATTAAGCCACAGTATCTCCATGCAATGGAACACCATGCAGAACACAAGGCGGCAAATTACTGACCCAAGCAACAAGGATGAACCCCAAATGCCAGACTAGAGAAAGCTAAACACTGTGTAACTCCATTCATGCGGCATTTGGAAACAGAAACCATAGGACAGAAGACAGATGTGTGGTTGCCGGGGCTGGGGTGAGGGGGTTGGCTTCAGAAGGCGTGAGGGAATTTTGGGGGTGACGGAACTGTTCTGTAGTTGGATTGTGGTGGTAGTGACACAACCGTATGTGTCTGTCAAAACTCAACTATATACTGTATGTAAATTGTGTCTTCATAATCTGAGTTTAAAAACAATCTTGTCGGGATATGTGTCATTTAAACATGGCTGCACTATTGACAACTGCAGCGTCCACAGGCCTCTACGCTGCACAGCATGTTGAGACTTGTCACGACTTGTTTTCCCAAACCTATTGTCCCTTTACTGATTGGCTTGTTTACCTGAATACCTTCTCCCTTGCCCGCACCCAAAGCCCACTGTTCTGTTATTTGCTTCACTGCTTGCTGTATTGACTATAAATAAACTCCTGGGACTGAAGCCGGGGTCAACTCCTCAGAGTGACCCTCCTGGCCCCACTTCTCTGTAAGAGTTGTGTTTGGTTACTGTCTCTGCCGTCCCGACAACCGTCGCCGCTGCGACACAATCTAATAGAGATGAATTTATCACCTAACTGTAGCAGTTAAAACTAATAAAATCCATGAATGTAAGTGACACAACCCCCACGGATTTCTCCCCTGCACGCTCTCTTCCTCTCATTCTGGCCTGACCACAGTCTCATTCGGATGTGCTCACTGCTGTAATCCAGCAGTCATATGTCATGGGTACTTAGGACACGGGTTAGGCTAGACCAGGGCTCAGAAGACACATTCTGAAAAGGACCAGAGAGCAAGTATTTTTGGCTTTGCAGGCCACAAGGGCTCTGTCCCAACTACTCTACAACTACTAGTCAACTTGACCACTGTAGCACAAAAGCAGGCGCTAACCAATATGTAAATGATGGGTGTGGCTGAGTTCCAAGAAAACTTTATTCCCTGAAACAGACTAGGCTGCTGTTTGCTGACTCCTATGCCAGACCTCGGTGTGCATCTTGAGTCTCTCAGCCACTTGCAGGGCAGCCCTCAGTTTTTAGTTGGGTCCCTGAGTTGCTGAAGCTTGGAGAACCATGTCTGATGTCAGTGAGCAGGTAGTGCTGAGGCTGCAGCGGCAGGGTATCTCACTCCAGGCTAGAGCTCTGTCACACTCTCATGGTTGGAAGGTTGATGAGAAGTTACCACACTGAGAGGCAGGACACAGGTACATCAGGGGCAGAATCTGATAGTCTGGGCAGGGAGGCACAGGATGGAGGCTTTCTGGAGTCCCTTACTGAAGCAGAGACAAAGCACCCTTAGACCAGTCTGGCCACAGAGGAGGGTCCACTCTCCTGGAGAGTGAAGCCAGGAAGAGGCACAGGCACATCCACACCCACACTATCCATCCTTCCTAGGTAAGGACCGCACTGGGGTCGGGACAGCAGGTGGTGGAGGACAGCAGGTGGTGGAAGACAGCGGGGAGCTGCGCAGGGTTTAGACACCCGTGCCACCCGCCAGTTACTGCTCTGCATCTTCCTCCCAGTCAGTGGTGTGTCCCTAAAGACGATACTCAAAGTTTCTAAAAACTCTAGCAAAAATGTGTGCCATCCATAATGACTGTACATACTAAATACATACTTACTACGCAACTAGCCTTCCTTTACTTTGTTGTTGTTGTTAGCTGCCCGAGTTGGTCCCTGACTCATGGCAACCCCATGCACACAATGGGACTGGACCATTGTGATCCATAGGGTTTTCACTGGCTGATTTTCAGAAGCAGATCACCAGGCCTTTCTTCCTAGTCTGTCTTAGTCTGGAAGTTCTGCTGAAACCTGTTCAGCATCATAGCAACACATAAGCCACCACTGACAGATGGGTGGTGGCTGTGCGTGAGGTGCACTGGCTGGGAATTGAGCCCGGATCTCCCACATGCAAGGTGAAAATTCTACCACTGAGCCACCAATGCCCTCTTTCCTTTACTGTAGTCCACCTTATTTTATTTTTTAAAAAGGAAAAAAAATAAAACATAAATAGTTGCATAAAAGCCTCCTTGAGGAAGCCAGTAGCTGCACCTCCTGGAAGAGCGAAGACATCTCGCAGACCAGACACGAGCTAGGGCTCTGCATCTCGCACTTGTGCCTGTCGGAAAGGAAGAAGTCTCGCAGGAGCGGTGTGTGGGTGAGCGCCTGCACGATGCAGTTCATGAAGCACGTGTTCCCAAGGTTGATCAGCCCTCGCAGGCCTAGGAAGGAGCAGGCAGGGAGAACACGGTTACCTGGGCACCAAGTCACACATTCTGCTCAGTCCCAGTGACGTGTCGCCTGCAATGCTCCACTTCCGTGTGTACTCTGTCACTTGCTTTTACTCATCACTCAACAAACAAGAAAGAGTAAGAAGAAATATTTTTTCTAATATTTCTGCCACTTTTATATGAACTGTACTGAGGACTGTTCACCACCATCACACCCACCCCACTTCAGCCTTCCTATGTTTTGAGCAGAATTACCCAGAGATTTTCTAGAGTAACAGCCAGGTCAGAGTGAAGGCTTTTCAAAAACAAACAAAAAAAACTTTTCCATTATTTTCTATAATTCATTTCCTCGTTTCTTAGAAAACTCAATGATCACTCCACACTCCTACACTGATCCTTTTGTCCCTGTGGATCACTGCATCTAGCTTCAGCCAGGCCAAAGTCAGCTGAGTCCTGCCATCCCAGCAGACTGTCAGGGCCCACAGTGCACTATGTCCTAGCACATCCCCAGGCCCTAGCAAGGGGGAGGTGATGCAATGCAGGGGCTTAAACAGAATATCATGGAATTACATAATCCACATTTACTTTTAAGCCCAGAGGAAGTAAGCCCAACTCAGGGGTTGCTACAGAAGAATGAGCAGACACAGCTATGAGCACATCCTCCGCCTACCTATGGTGCAGTTAGAGGTGATCTTTCTCCTTTTCGGGTTGTGCTTCAGCAGTTCAAGCTCCCGTTTGGTCGGTTCCCAAGTTGAAAACTTCTCCCCGACGCCTAAGCAGACCAAACAGTTCCAGGCGCTGTTAGCAACATTTTCATCAAGTGTGTTCATAAGTCAAAGTTGTTAGTATACACTACCTATCAGGTTGCATTTGAAACAGAGAAGTTCCTAACAATCTTTCTAAAACCCTACTATGCTGAGATGGCTAAAAAGAACACTCATACGAGTTTCTTTTACAGAATGTGCTGTGAACAAGCTACGCTTTATACAAAGAAGGAAAACAGAGCCTCCAATTAAAGCCACTCTAAAACTAGTGCCAATATGGTGGTTTTCCCACACCTAGTCCTTGTGTAGAGATCAAAACACTAGCACCAACAGGAAATACTCAGCAACTCAGATGAAGCACTCTACTGTGAATCAGAAACTGAGAAAGCGGACCCTTGAGCAAACTAAAATACACCCAACTTACTGAATAGCTATGTCCCGTAAAAGATTCAAACCAACGACGATGATTTAAGTGTTAATAAGCATTATATTTCATCCTAATATATACCCTATTCACTCAGAGGTACCTGTTTTATGCTACCTAAAATTTCTGCATAATTCAATAAACTTTAAGGAGATAGCATCTTGCTGCCAGATGGAACTGTGAAATGATTTTAGGAGAATTCCATGTTCTTCTGTGGTATGCGTTTACTCAGTCCTGTTCCAATGTCCTGCACAAATAAATCTACTCAGCCTAAACTGCAATATTGTTATATATTCTGAGGGGGAGGAGAACAGGAAGCTGAAGTCAAACAGACTGTTCTCCAGAAAAGACTTGTTACACACAAATAATTCTGGTCACTCAGAGTACCTATTTCTAGTCTTCCTTTCTCAAAAAAGCAGGTTGTTTTTGAAGCAGAACAATCAAGGCAGAACCTGCTAAACAGATGCTAGATTTATATGTTCTCTTTGTAGACAGACAGGGAACTAAGAGAGCTAAATACTCCTGCCATTGGAGAGATACACATCAGTCCACTGGGTAAGCTGTATCTATTATTGTCATTGTAAACTGGCAATGAGCATTTGCTGGAATTAAAAACTCAAAAAAAGAAAAAAATCAGGGAAACCAAGATTAGTAATAAAAGAAAATATTTGCATAATGTTTCTGTGTATCTCAAACTCTACACGTACCCAACAAAGAGTTTATGCAACATGGAGAGAAAGTGGCCGCCAGTGAGTAATCAGTATGTACACTGGTAACTGTTATGGGGTGAATTTGTATCTCCCCCAAAAGACATGTTGAAATTCTAACACTGGTACCTATTTACGTGATCTTGTTTAGAAACAGGATCTTTGAAGATGTTATCAGTTAACATGAGGTCATAGTGGAGTAGGGTGAGTCCTAATCCTGTCTGACTGGTGTCCTTCCTTATAAAAAAGAAGAGACACAGAGACAGGGAGACAGGAAGGACACCAAGTGACAGACACAGTGGACTGCAGGCTTAAAGACACAAATCAGAGAGACAAACAGAAGCAAAACCAGACCTTGCATTTTCCATGCTTTCCTTTGTTCCTCTTTGGCGATTATCTCCATGTCTTTGTCATATATGTAGTCCTGACACAAAAAGCAGTATATACCTCCATACGTGAGGTCTATGGCTGAAAAGAGAGAGGGAAGAAAGGGGGGGAAGGGAGAAATAATATTTAATCAACAATTAAAAGTTAACACTTTAGGACACAAAATTATGAGTATAATTGAGGTTCTGCAGCCATGTGACTGGACGCACCATTTTCTGACTCAAGTCGTAACACTCTTTTACAGAAGGACTCCTCCCACTCCAGAGCGCTAATCCTGAGCAGTTGAGAGAGCGTACCTCCCTGCTCTGGAGGTTCCAGCTGGGATGAAGAAGTCTGAGTGAGAAAGGAGCTGCACTCAGATTTTGTGAAGCACCCAATACTCAAGCGCTTATCTGGGTGCTCTGCCTTTTTCCCTATAAGTGTGATGCTTAAAATGAGAGTGAAATGTCATTGAATATAGCCACCTGACTCCACTATGTTTCACTGCATCTAGAGTTTCCCATACTGACTACTACAAGAAGGAATGTAGGAGCTGTTTGCCTACTCTTGCTTTGAAGGCAGTGGGCAAATGTTTTCTGACCAGACAATCTTGACTTCTCGACCCAGACTTGCCTACTGCCATCTGCTGGTAGGTCTTACACCTTGTCTCAACTGCACCATCTAAAAACAGGGGTCATACCCGTGGCTCTTGGTTGCTTTAGTATAAAGATCAGTACCTTGAACCCCTCAGAAGAAAGGCACTATCTCAATTCAACAACAACAACAAAGTTGGGGAGGAACTTACATTCACCAAGCAATAGCAGATGTTTGGGAGGCAATGTAACATAGAGGAAAAAACTCAGATTTAGAATGACGGCTATCAATTCTAGCTCCAGCTCCTCGCTATATAATCTTTGAGAAATTACTCTACTTCCCTGAGTCTTGGTTTCCCCAGTGGTAAAATGGTGATAATAACAGTAATAACATCTCATAGGTTTGTGTGATAATTAAATTAATACATAACTGAGGTATACCTCCTGGTAGACAGTAATGTCTTAATAAATCACTAAGTTACTATGCCTTAGATAATTGTGTGACTGTTTGAAAACCTCTAAAGCAGATCTACTAAATAACAGTTTAAGAAATAATAAACCAAATAACAATTACAGATCCCATGTCTACCGTCACCCCTTCCCCCAAACTGGCAAATTCACAGCGGCCATTTTAAAGGCCTCTGCAGGGCTGCTTGGGGCCTCACTGCCCACTGGCACCAGACATATAATAACAGAAGTGGCCCAGCATGCAGATAGCAAAGTGATAGCTTGCCACAGGCAGGCTTACAACGATGATGATGGGAACGTTGAGGAAAGCAGTAGAACTCTATGAAAAATAGACCGAGAGACAACCGACAGCAAAACCACCCACACGGGAAAGCTCGTTCCCCTTCCCCATAATGATCTCCATGCTCGTTCAAAAGTCCCCCTGGATGAAACCTGCTTGGAGGCCCTAACGAGGCAATGTCTGCCATCAAGGCAGCGTCCCAGGAAAATTATCTCATAGTCAAAACTGAAGATTCAACTTTTAATCCAAGATACTTAGAAACTCCAGAATCTGGTGCCTCAGAATCTCTCCCTTCAGGGTAAGGGATTCTAATATTCTACGGTAGCAACTGAGGCACCTCCCCTGGATTTAAAACTTAATTAAAAAGATGGCAGAAAGCAACACATTTCTCCCATTCTATTTATTTAGCCAGAAGCATGCTAAGAACTCGAGAGTCAGCTTCAAAAAGGCCTGGCTAAGCCGACAGCTACAACACGTGAGAATGAGAACCAGCCATGAGCCACCTAGAGGTCTGACAGTGATTCTAGACTCCCGGGTAGGAACTGTTTAGTCTATAAGCTTGATATTACACTCCAGGACTGCAGCTAGAAAAACTGATCAGACTAAAATGATACATATTTTAAAAGTACACAACATTCCCGATTTTGATGAAAAGCACCTGGGAAATGAACCCCAACCTATCAGAGAAGGGGGCTGCTTATGTCTACCAGGAGACTGTAAGAAGACCATAAAACAACTCATTCCCAAGCCTCTCCTCCCCATCAGCTCAGCCAAACACATGAGAAATACAATGTAACCTGCTCTGGAACTCCCACCTCCCTATGGTTGCCTGTCCCATTAGTGGCAATGCAAAATAAGCCACTGGCAGTGCTATTTCTGGTGAAGAGCATTGTATTCTGGTGCTGATACATTGCTACAGAGCCAAATTAAAAAACAAAACAAAAAACAAAGCAAAATGCTTTTAAAAGAGGGAGAACACTGTGGAAAAGGGGGAGGAAAAATATCCCTACCCCTCCAAAAAACCCGTTCCTCTCTAGTTGATTCCGATTCATAGCGACCCTACTGGACAGAGTAGAACTGTCTCATAGGGTTTCAAAGAAGCTGCTGCTGAATTCGAACAGCCAACCTTTTGCTTAGCAGCTGTAGCTCTGCTCCACTAAGCCACCAGGGCTCCCTTATTTATGGTTAGATACCTACTTCTTCCTTAAAGAAGCTATGACAGATGAATTTGAATGAAATAGGGCAGCTGACAACCACTGGGATTTTCCAATGGAGATGTCACCTACTCATTCACTTATTTAATACATAGGTGTCTCTTCCCAGAGCTGTACAGGAAGGATAACACAAAAAGAAGGCGGAAAAAATCTGTCTTTCAAAGGCTTTAGATCTAATAAATTAGACAAAATTGTAACTAGTTTCTTACAGGAAACAACTAGAAAGTAATTCATGATGATGAAGTACTACAGAAATCCAAAAAAAATATATAACATCATGTGATAGGCTTATTCTGGATAAAAGTATAGATTTAGAAGAATGGTTGGTGGTAGGAAGAAACATCCATCCATGCTAAAGAACATAAGCATAATTTTAAAATATTCTTAGTACTATGTCATAGTTAAACCTGGCCAGGCCATTAAGCTTTATCTTACCACTAAGGTTTTGATTCAAATTACTGAGTTCTTTGTTCCTCCACATAAATGCTGACAATAAAAATTACTGAAAAAATAAGCTTCAGAATCAAGACTGACTTTGTCCTATGAAGTGGAGACTAACTGTGGTTCTAAAGTGGAAGGGAAATTTTTCATATGGATGGCACCTAACAAAGAAACCACAAAATCAAAGTATGGGTCCTGGTGTGTATCTTATTTACATATCACGTCATAAAGGAAACATCAGGTTAATAGAATAAATTCACACCACAAATTTCTGAAATGATTTTTACAGACAATGCTCGGAAACGATAAGATTTTTCAGACAACTTTAAGTATAAATATATTTCCAGTTTTTCTCATTTTCCGTAACCCTTTTGATCACTGTGAATCACAGCCCAGGGGTAAGAGCCTAAACTGGGCTGGTATGAGAATCAGATATGGCAGGGATGCTCTTCATTATATTATTAAAAGAAAGTCATTAAGTAGATACCATAGAATTTTATTCCATCCATACTCTCTCAGCACTGTCTTTTTCCTTCAGTTATGCAATTTAAGGAAGTTACCACTAATTGCCCAGCCTCTCTCCTTGGCACAGGCAGCCGGCTCATCTACAACTCATGAGAGAGCCATGCACCATTAGTTCTTCCAAAAGGGCCAGTTAGCTCACAGGCATAGCTTGAGTCCCAGTTCCAAGCAGCCTTTCTGTAAATGCTTGCTATTAATTACTAGCTGCAAATGAAATATATCCAGTTGAAATGCCTGAGTTCATACAATTCCATATTCACTACTAAAAAGAAAAAACAAACAAAATAAACACTTTTACTGCTGATACTCATTAAATTTTTTTTATTGTGGTGAAAATATACTTAACAAAACATATACCAACTCAGCAATCTATACATGTATAAATTTAGTGACACTGATTACATTCTTCAAATTGTGCCAGCCACTGTTGCTATCCTTTTCTAAATCATTCCATCATAACTAAACTCATTGCCCCCTAACCAAAAACTTCCCCCTTTACTCCCCTCTCTCCACCCCCGGTAACCATTAATAAACTTTGATTTTCATGTATTTGCTTGTTTTATATAAGTGAGATCACCGAGTATTTGTCCTTCTGCAACTTATTTCACTCAGCATGTTTTCAAGGTGCATCCATGTTGTGGCGTGCATCAGGACCTCATCTGTCTTTATGGCTGAGTAGTAGAGTCCATTGTGTGTACATACATTTTGCTTATCCTTTAACCTGTTGATGGACACTTCAGTTGTTTCCACCTTTTGGATACTGTGAAAAGTGCTGCAACGAACACTAGTGTACAAGTTTCTGTTTGCGTTCCTGCCTTCATTTCTTCTGGGTACATACCTAGGACTGGCACTGCTGGATCATACAGTAGTTTCAAAGTTCAACTTTTTGAGGAATCACCAAGCTGTTTTCCACAGTGGCTGTACATTCTCACTAGCAATGGATGAGGGTTCCAGTTTCTCCACAAACTCACCAACACCTACTGTTCTCTGGTTTTTATCTCTGCCATTCTAATAGACGTTAAGATGGTTATCTCATTGTGGTTTTGATTTGCATCTCTCTAATGGTTAATGGTGGCCCCGGTGGCTCAGTGGATAAAGGTTAATGCTGCTAACCAAAACGTCAGCAGTTCTGAATCTACCAGCCGCTCCCCGGAAACTCTATGGAGCAGTTCTACCCTGTCCCTATAAGGGTTGCTATGTGTCTGAATCCACTCAATGGCAACGGGTAATCGTTAACAACACTGAGCATTGTTTTCATGCGCTTGATGACCATTTTAATATCCTCTTTGGTGAAACAGCTGGATACTCAAACTTTTGACTCAAAAAATTTTGAGATAAATTATAAAATAAAGCGAGGAGTGGAATTTGTTCTGTGAATTTTCATGCTTTCTTTAACAAACTGGCACACTACATGTCACCTACAAGCTAAAGTGATGTTTCCTTTACAACAACCATAGATGTTGCAAACAACACAACACTGAAGTGACAGCCTCCACGTGTCCATGAAAAAGCAATTAGCTTGTAAGAATATCACACTGTAAGAGATCTGTTTGCCTTAAATGGTACTGATTCTTTTAAAAAAAAAAAAAAGATTGCTTAGAGTAACAAAAACCTTAGCTAAAACCATACATTTTTTATTTTATTATATACACTGCTCATATATAACAACTGTGGGGTTTACATTAATTCTACCCAAAGAATTTGGTCTTTGTCCTCAGTTCCTGAGAGATAATCTATAAAAAGCCTTGAAAGTGTCTTTGATAAGGGCTCCAGACCACACTTAAGAGGTTAGGTGAGGTACGAGGTGACTCTGGCTTGATCACCTCATGATATGGACATCAGGGGATGGGCTGGCCAGGTCAGAAAGACCACCTCATGGCATCAGCCAAATGGTGGGTGGGTGTGGGGTGTGGGGTGTGTGTGTGTGTGGGGTGTGTGTGTGGGGGGTGTGTGTGTGTGGGTGTGTGTGTGCGTGTGCGTGTGTGTGTGTAATAAACTCAATCTTCCCTACTTAATGAGAACCCAAAAAAGGATCTGGACACAAAAGCTCCATGGGCTTCCTGGTTGGTGAAAGACACTAACACATGTGGGAGGGTAGGGCATCCCTTTTTGGGACATGGAAGCTACACAGTGGGAATTCTCCCAGACCTCCCTCTTTGAGACTCTTCCTTTGTTTTGTTTTGTTTTGTTTTTTTTGTTATAATAAAGCTATAAACGTAAGTACAGCACTTTCCATTAGTTCTGTGACTTGTTCTAGTGAATTACTGAACCTGAAGGAGTAGTGGGAGCGAACAAGTCAGAAGTGAGGGGGTCCAGGAGCCCCTGTACTTACAGCTGGTATCCTGAAGGGGTAGAGGGAATCTGTGAATTTGTAGCCAGGTCAGAAATGAAGGGGGGCAGGGGCATGAACTTTCGGCTGGCGTCTTGAAGAGGTAGCGGGAAAATTCCAAATTTGTGGCCAGCAGGTCAGAAGTGAAGGTCGTGGGGACTCTCGAGCTTGTAGCTGGCGTTTGAAGTCTTGGGCAGACTGGGCAGTCTGGAGGACTGTGTTGTGTTCTTTAACTTGTGAGATCTGACCTAGCTCTGGGTGGTTAGGGTCAAAGGAAGAAGTGCTGCAGTTGCGGCTGGTGTCAGAACTGAACAGAGAAGTGAAAGGTGGGTATTTGTTACATCCTCACAGCTGGTGTCAGGAAAAGTGGATCTGATAATTTGATTATACTTACCCACTCAAAAATGAGCCTCATTATTTGCAGATCCCGTATTTATAAAATTGCCTAACTTCTTTGAACCATTTGCTTTTTCTGGATTCAAAATGGCCTCCCTATATGCATGTACCAACAAACAAAGCAACACGCAAGCCACCACAGTACGACAAACCGACAGACGAGCAGTAGACCAGCCCCTGGAGAAGGACATTATGCTTCATAAAGTAGAGGGTCAGTGAAAAAGAGGAAGACCCTCAACAAGATGGACCGACACAGTGGCTGCAACAATGGACTCAAACATAGCAACGATTCTGAGGATGGCACAGGACCAGGCAGTGTTTCGTTCTGTTGTACACAGAGTCACTATGAGTTGGAACTAACTCCACAGCACCTAACAACATATGCATCTAAAATAACTGCTCAGAATAAACCTTATGCTCAAATTTTAGTGAGTCTGATTATTTTTTAACAGCCGCAAACCACAGAACTTCAGAAAAAAAGTCTAACAATATCCTTAGCTGGAATTTTTAGGTCTACATGAAGTAATTTTCTAGAATAGTATCTGTGGTTGGGACCTTTTGAAAGTGACTTTCATAAGGGTGTCTTAACTTCACAACATCTAACAGAAAACACTATTCTGGAGGAGAGAAAAAAGCATTTAATGACTACAGTCAGAAAATGAAACCAAGAGCAAACTTTGTTTTATATAGCTTCCACCACTACAGTTTCAATTTTTAGGTATGATTCTATGATACTGGAAACAATGAAAACGATTACTGACAGCGATAAAAGTCACCTATATACAACCAAGCAACTCCATGTTGGCATCAATAACCCAAATACTGCATTTAACTCATTTCTTTGTAAATGTTTGCTTAACTTAACTCCTAATTACACATTTCAAAGAGAAAGAGGTGGCTCTTGATGTTCCATTAGCAGAAAAAGGAATGAAGGTGACAAAATTGATGATTCTCCTGGAATCTGGAACCCAGATTTCTGGGTTTATAGAACTGGGGTGATCCACCCAAGCCATGTGCCCTTAGGTGTCCTTTTGAATCAAGCAGGAATTGGTTCCCTGAAGTCATCTTCAGGTCTAACAATAGCTTAGTAAACAGCTTAGTGGAGAGTGTTTTGCCTTAGGCTGTTTTAGGACATATGCTCTGTCCTTGGTGACTCAGTTTCTATAACTGAGGGACCCTGAAACCCTGCTCCTGCTTTGATGTTATCTCCTGAGAAAAGAACGTAACAATGACCCATATATCTCGCTTTCACTAGTCCCCTCTTTAGAGCACCTTCCCTTCCTGATGGTATGTTCAGGTGATGCATTTTATTACACACTGATCTGTGTTTCTCTGTACATTTAGGTTTTTGGCAATGGTTTCACATTAATTTTGGCTGGACATAACCAACATTAAGCTTCAGTAATTTATCATTTGGGGCCCTGGTGGCGCAGTGTGGTTAAGAGCTACGGCTGCTAACCAAAAGGTTGGCAGTTCGAATCCACCAGTCACTCCTTGGAAACGCTATGGGGTAGTTCTCTATCCTACAGGGTCGTTATGAGTCAAAATCGACTCGATGGCAGCAGGTTTGGGTTTTTTTTGTTTTGTTTTTTCTGCGCATTTAGGTTGTTGGCAATGGCTTCACATTAATTTTTCAAAGAAAGTTGGCTAGACATAACCAACATTAAGCCTCAACAATTTATCATTTAAGTTATATAAAATAATACCTACCTTAAAAGCCTTAAGGCAAGCCAGGTACATAATCCCTCAGAGCTCAGTATACAGCTCTTTCACATCCCCTGTGAAGATTCAAGGAGCCTTGGTGGCATGGTAGTTAAAGCACCAGACTGCTAACCAAAAGGCTGGGAGTTTGAAAGATGCTGTAGTCTGCTTTACAGCCTTGGAAATCCTATGGGGCAGTTCTACTCTGTCCAGTAGGGTCACTATGAGTCAGAACTGACTCGATGGCAATGGGTTTGGTTTCAGTTTTTGGTAAAGATTCACAAGGAGAGTACAGATATTTTAGATGAAAAATAAGTGTACTTATGGAAGAAGTGGACTGCAAATCAAAATTCTAAGGACAGGAAGTTGGGGGAAGTGCCTGTTCCCAGAGGCCTGATAGAACATCTCAGGGGGCGCCTTACCCAGGTTGTGTCGTTTAGACTTTGCATGTTCGTGAATATGTTTCTTTGTGAAACAGCCAAAGAAGACACAGTAGAGGCAGGAGTGGAGTCTGTTCAAGTGGGCACCGCAGACATGACAGACGCACGACTTAGCCTGGAATTCAAAGAAAAAACTGATGAACAGCAAGTAGGAGAACAGGAATTCTCAGAGAGAAGCATTTCAGTGAAGTAATCCACAGTGGGTGCAGCGACTGGAGGATGGGAACACAGAGGTGTACTCCAGGTCTTCCTGTGCTAAAAGACCACTTTGTAAAATCTTTCAATTCTGTAACAGCGATAATACCCTTGGTTACTGAAACTGGTTTAAACTATGTAAAAAAATATATGTATATAAGATTACAAATGATATTAGACAAGGTGGCTCTGTAGCTATACACTCTCTTTCTGAAAGAGTACAGATGAAAATAATTACAGGATAAAACAAATTAGCTCTTGATTATTTACCTACTTCCCGAGGAAGAGTTTGTACTTTGGTAAAAATAAAATTACTGTGACATGTTAATGACACCTAAGTGGAAGTATACTGAGACATAAATCTAGCATAAGTTCATGACTATAGACACAATGCATGCTGCAGATGCTCCTTGTACATCTTCTTGTGATTTGTGGTCACAACTAGGAAATTTGGGTTTGTGGACCAGACAAGCCTTTCAGACCACTGGCTTACACATTCTCCTCATTTTGATCTTTTATATTAAACTACTAAGCTGCCTGGCATCTGGGGTCCTAAAAGCTTGTTAGCAGCATCTAAAGAAAAGCAAATGGTCTCATTCTGACTACAGAACAATGAAGAGAAGAAGCTAAAGAACCAACAAAAAATAACAAATGTTTCACAAACAGGTACCCCATAAAGCAGTACCTATGAGACCCAAAGAACTTTAGTGATCAAAAATTCTAATTAAATCACAATCAGAAGGGGGGAAATGTTGAATAGGAAAATTAGTAAGACTTCTTACTTGATTTTCAGCGTTCTCCTTAACAACAAAACCAAATATTAACCATGAAAAGCCTGACCCAAACTGCAAAAGCCTGCCAGAAACTGCTCTACAGCAATGTAAATTGTCTTATCCTGCTAGAAAAGGTAGTTGTCAAACCATTACATCCTAATTTAAATCTCAACAAGCCTCACGGCTGCAGGTGGGTGGAGGGCCAAATTATTAGCAGTCAGGCAGAAGTAACCTGGTATCAGCTGATTTCAGTAAAGGGGGTAGGCAGGATTCAATCACGTTAAGCTTAGCCAACAGTTGATCTTCTGTATTTCTCCCTCCTCTTTTCCTTACAAGCCTCATTACACCTACCTTCTTCGAACCATTTGCTTTTTCCTGGAATCAAAGTAGTCTCCCCTGTATGCACTGATTTAGGATTACAATAAGAAATCTGCAGATTTTCCAGGAATCGGACATACCAGAAGAACTGATCAAACAGGTTTGGTTGTTGGTTTGAGGTGGCTAAGAATAAGAGTCTTTTTAAGTCAAAGACTAATTCTTTGAGACAAACATCAGTAGTTATAGGCAAAACATCTTGTGACTAGTGCAGAGTTGAGAGAAAAGAAAACTACAGCCACTAAGCACATAAATATTAGTTAAAAGGTCAACAGATCAATCCCAAGAGGTGTCTTTGTTTATAAAATAACCTATGTATTGATAAACCTCCTTTTCATCATGACAAAACAAAATTGTAACCAATAGTCATTTTTCCTGCTGTCTTTCTCCTGATTAAAATGGTATAAATTGCATGAATTATCAATTGGCAGACTCAGTTTGATCTTGCTGTTGAGGCAGTTGGCTGCTTCCTTCACTCCAGTGGTTTGTCTGTCTCCAAATAAAGGATTTTTCCTTTTCCTCACAAATAACTTGTCCTCCATTTTAATTCCAGAACAGCAATGGTGTAGCCGGCAGGATTTCTGAAGTAGCTTCTTCCACGGAACCCTGAAGAGACCTGACAGCAAAAGGTGCCACTACACTACGAGTCCACTGAACCTTGTTTTATACACTCCACATCCCTTCAGGAACTTCTGGTGTGGGTAAATGCTCTAGGAAAACAAGCCTTTGTTTTTTATAACCCAAAGTAATAGAGGAGAGGAATAATCCTTGTTCAGATTTATTTGTATTTGTATTTCTTTGTTTGTAACCGGTTTATTTACTGTGAGATTTGTGGGACAAAAGAATCTCGTTAAGGTGTATTTATTTCCCGAAGCTCAGAGTTATGGGCACAATCTACTGACCTTTTTGAGAACTGCAGTCTGATAAAATTTAAGCTGAGATTGCGGAAAATACTGGTATCAAGCTAAAAGCCCCACCTCTGAGACTCCTGCCACTTACATGCTTTGTAATTTTGGCCCTGCTACTGGTTCAGTATTTAGAAAAATGTCATGATATTATGAAGGACCGTGAGGCGGAACAATCACCCCAGTGGGGCAGTTTTGAATTATCCAAATTTGTATTTTTAAGATGCAAACTGGAACATAAAGAGTCTTGAGTAACTCGGCCTCAATGGGAAATATTTTTTAATTGGTATTTTGAGGTTTCTTGCCAACAACATAATGATAAATTTGCCTCTACGCAAGAGACAATTTCTAAACAAGCTCATCAAATTCGGGAATTACAGAAGGGACACAATAATGACCCCTCTTCTGAATCAAAAGAAGTGAGGTAGTTGCTTCTTGTTGTTCAGCTTTATCTTCTTCAAATCACAATCTTTTGTCCAAATTATCTTTTTCCAATGCAGAATCTTTTGATACAAGTTCTGCTGCCACTATTACTACAATGCCATTAGTCATTAGACAACCTAGGATAGGAGGTGGGAACTTAGCAGTCACCTCTTCTCCCTGATCCAAGGGTGAACTTCGTGCCATTATAAAAGAATTCTCTGACCCCCAAGGATATCTGCAAAAAAATGCACACGAGTTTACAATATTAACTGAAACTTAGGAGCCAGGTCTAGCAGAATTGTATAATTTATTAACTATGTTTTGGGGACCATGTCTATAGATGGGTGGAAGAGGTTAAGCAGAAAGATCCAGAACAATCTATGTCCATTCCCACTGGAGTATCAGGAAACAAAATTAGAACACAAGTTAAGGCCTTGGTTAAAAGTCTGATAAACACCTTTCCTGTGGTGTTCCCACCAAAGATTAACTGGACAGAGGTGCAGACTTGTACGCAAGAAAAGGATGAAAATGTTTATAATTACCATTCTAGGCTAATTAAATTATTTTTTGAACATTCAGGGTTAAAATTAGAAGACCGAGGGTTGCTTTTAGGAGGATTAAATCCTGAATTAACAGCCTTGGTAAAGAGACATCAGCTTAATTGGGAGAGTACTGATACTTCTGAATTGGCTACTTTGGCCTATAAATTAGCTCAAATCATGAAACAAAAGGCTAAGGAAACTGAGCAAAGAGCTAAAGAGAAAAAAAAATAAGCTGACGGCTTTAAAACTACAGCAATTACAACATGCTGGTCAGTTCCTCAACCAATGACCAAATCAGGAACTCACAACTCAAATGGCCTGAATGTTCCAGAAGTTTGCAATTACTGTAAAAAACTTCGTCATTTTAAGAGCGACTGTCTCAAGTTAAAGAACAAAATGCAAGTTTTTCCATCAGCTCTGCTTCTACCTAAGATACATCACCAGGCACCGAGGAAGTCTTAGAGGCTTTGTCAGTGGTACCCCTCACCCATCAAGGTGAGGCAACACTCCAAGTGAACGGGGAGTCTTGCACTGTCTTGGTGGACACGGGGGGCGACCGTATAGGTGATAAAACCCCTCTCCTCTTCCTTGGAATACTCTAAGGTCATGGGAATCTCTAATCAAGAACAGGTTTGACCACATTCCTTACTTGTTGCTACTTCTTTAGGTTCACTTCAAGATTTCCATCCATTTCTTTTAAGTCAAGATATCCTCGTTAATTTATCGGGCAAGTACTTTTTATCAAAATGTAAGTGTCACATACAATTTACTGAAGGAGGAAAATTCTATTGAATTTCCCCAATCCTGAAGGGAATTCAGAAGAACCCCTACATGAGGCTGAAGAAGGCTTGTGCTTGCTTCAAGGACTTAAGTAACAGAGGAGAACGACAGAAGAACAAGGAGGAAGGGAAAATTCTAGATTAAGTTCCTTCCCAACTGTGAGTAACCTCTTTCACTGATGTGGGACAGGTGCTGTGAGCTGAACCCATCAAGGTACAGATAAAGTCTTCTAAGCCTTCATGCAGAGTAAATCAATATCCATTAAAACCAGAAGCTAAGATAGGATTAGAACTTATTATTCAAGAATTTCTAGATAAAAGGCTTATTATTCCATGCACTAGTCCTTGTAACACTCGTGTGTTTCCTGTCAGAAAAGCTAACAATCGTGGGTAGAGATTGTACAAGACTTAAGAGCCATTAATCAATTCCCAGTAGTCCCTAATATTATTTGTAGATGAATCTTATTTAAAGCCTGATGCCTCAAGTTCTAGGTATCAAGGAAGATAGGCTGTCACCATGTCACAGAAGTTTTGGAGTGTGGTCCCTTAACATAAGTAACATCTGCTCTACAGGCTGAGCTGACAGCTTTAACCAGGGCCTGCCAGATGGCCTCTGGACAGTCAGTAACAATATATACAGATTCAAGGTATGGGTTTTATTGGGGTTACTTCTGGAAAGCTGTGGATCAAGTTGTTAAAAGTCATGCTGTTTGTTTAGAATTTAATCCTAGACGCACTTATCAACCAGCTCCAGGAACCAGCTCCCTTTCCAATTGGTCCCATGTTAGAATGGCAAATAGACTTCATACAACTGACCCCTTCCCATGGATTTAAGTATGTTCTAGTAATGATATGCAGATAATCTCATTGGGTTGAAGCTTTCCCTTGCAGGAACACCATCACAACTTTTATGGCTAAAAAACTTTTAGAAAACATCATTCCCACTTGGGGAACTGCAGCACTGCTACGTAGTGATTGGGGTTCTCATTTCATAGGGCAGGTAATCTCTCCCGTATTGAATTTTTCCAGTTTTTCAGCTGCTACATTGCCCCTACCATCCTCAATCACCAGGGCTGGTGGAATGAATAAATGAAACTCTAAAAACACAACTGGCCAAGCTGAC